GTTTTATTTATGTATTTATTTAATTTACTTGGGAGTGTGGCAGACGGGGATGTACATCCTGGGCTACCCCAGGATGTACTCGCTACTTGCCCGGGCAGCGGCTGTCCAGTGTGCGGCAGCGGCAGGAGCCATAGTGTACCTGGAAGGAGGCCTAGAGTGGACACTTGGCATAGCCCGCGGTTTCAGAAGCGCCACTGCAGCTATGGCCCCGGATCATGGTGACTGCAGCCTAGCCTGACCACTCTACCTCCGCCCATCCCCCCAAGGCCCTTGTGCCGCTGAAGGCAATGGCCCCCAGCCCCGAACCCTGCTGGCCTCCCTCTTTCTTGCCCTATGGACATCTCCCTGCCGCCCTAGAGGCTCCTCCCGCCATCTGTCCCCCTTATCTTCTCAACAAGACCCTTTGGCTGCCCAACCATTCTCTCCAATTTTAAGGGCCTGATGCACCATCTCCTGGGACGGTCCCCGAGGCTCTCCAGGCTTGTCTTCCACATCTAGTCTGTGACATCCTGTGATGGATCTCCACCATTTTCAGGCAATTGAATACCATGGCCTCCCCCACCTTCTGGAACCTTCTCCTTTGCCCCAGGGTCTCTTTTCAGCCCCAATACATAACCTCCCACTCCCTGCCATACCCTCCCACATGCTTTTGTCAGGTTATTGGGCATCACCCTGACCCCATTTTCTGAAACAAGTGTCTCTTAGAGCCCCCACTGTGTCTCCCCCATTCCACTTCACCCACAGCTAACTCCCACCCCTCTGCTGTCTTTTACTACTCTCATCTTGAACCATCCCCAGCTCTTTAGAATTGCCTTCTCCCCTGCCCCACTCTTCTGAGACCCCCTCCTCCCTCTGTTTCATCCTACTCTCAACCACAGGGCTTCTCAGAGACTCTCCCCAACCCTCAACTTTCCCTTTTTCCCTTTTGTCTCCCTCCTGCCCGGAAGTCCTCACACACTCCCAGGTAGACTGGTGCTTCCCCCTTCAATAGACTCCTTTCATTCTATAGCCCCTGGATGTAGGGACCTGAACACCCCCCCTCCCCAGCCTTCCGCGGCCCCCTCCTTTTTTCTCTTCTTGAGAGTGGGACACCCAGACCTGGCCAGGGTCCTCCCCCTCCATTCCTGGCCCTCTCCTCTCCTCCAAGCCCCCTACCCCTCCTCCAACTGCCCAATTATCCCACTTCTTTCCTGTAACTCAGCTTGTTGACTCAACTCCTTGTGACACCATGGAAGTCCTCTTTCCCTTCTCCTGTTGTCACCAACAGGCCCTCAAAAGGAATTGGGCCACCTTGAAACCTGGAGGATGTGGCGTCCAAATACAGCCATTTTAGAAACCAGACAAGCAGGTAACAGAGATGTTACTCTGCTCTGAAAGTTCAGCATCTGCCTCCATGTCCCTTCTTCAGTGGTTGCCATCTCTCCTGAGCGTTAGGGTTAGGGTTTGGGTTGGAGGCACGGTGAAGGTCAGAATTGGAGGTAAGGTCTAGGCTTACCGTAGCTTAGCACCCACTGTGATGTTCCCCCTCTCCTAGAACTCTCCGCCTTCAGTGACAACCTTGATAATTTACCAGCAGAGGGGAAAGCCCAGAGCAGTTGTACGCATATTAAACAAAATACATGAACACTTGGCAGGGTGTGGGGGGGAGGTTCCCCACTTTGAAAGAGTTTTCTGAGCAAGCCAAACTACATTGAGTGAAAATTTCCATCCTTTGTCCATATTTTATTTATCAAAGGTATACCTAACTGCCCATCAGAATGTCTGATCAGGGTGAGACAAGCAGTGAAAACACGGAGTGGATTAAAAAAAAATTTTTTTTTTTTTTACAGCTTGAAGGAGAGAAATTTGATGTTTGGTTTAACCTCTGAAATGCCATCCCAGAGGAAACCTATAATTTACATTTGGTTTTTTGAAATAGTAAACATACTTTTTGAGTCTCCATTACTATTGGGGGGTGGGGTCCCTGAGTCACTGCCACTCCTTAGGTAACATGGTTTCTGGTGCATCATAGGCCCCAGTCAATATTGAAAACGTGAATCAAAAATGGGGAGGTCAGGGTTTAGTTTGCTCACGACTGCCACTGGAGTTAAGCTTTTGGGCAAAATTTAGAGGACAGAGAGTAGCATCAAGGTTTGGTTTTGTGTTTAAGCTAAACCTGGGGCTCTGGCCTTCTCTTTTTCCACTCTCCTGGTCTCTCCACATCCTTTTGCCACATCTGTCTTATTTCTTCTCTCAAACAGGCCAAGTTTGCTGCCCTCCCGGGGCTTCTCCTCTTCATATTTCTTCTGCCAAGGGATTCTCCCCTGAAACCCAAATGGCTACCTCCTTCTCATCATTTAGGTCTCATTTTAAAAGGCACTTTCTCCAGGAGCCCCCCCCCAGTCACCTCAGTCTGTCACCCTGATGCCCCACCAACCCCTCTCTTCCTTAGGGCCATATTCATTTCTCTGAAATAGGTCCTTGGGTTACCTCTTCTGGAAGGCAAACTCCCTGACAGCAGAGACCCGCTCTGTCCTGTTCTCCGACTGCTTCTCAGGGTCCTGAACAGCGGCTGGCTCTGATTAGGCCCTCAGTGAACATGGGAGGTTGATGGCAATTCATTTCTCCTTCAGTCACACAGGGACAGTCATACCCACAGGCAGTGCCTCAGACTTCCAGGACAGCTCAGGGGTTGGGAAGATATTGAAATTCTTCCCTCTTTCCCTGCTTTGGCCTCTCCCCACAGACCATCTGGTAACTAAAGGGTTAATGCTAGGCACAGCAAGGGCCTGGAGACCCTGTTCTGCTGGTGCCCACCGGTGCCCTTATCTTTAGGAGTCAAGTTTAGGGTGGTTGTAAGGAATCAATGAGATGCTCCTGAGGTGCTCAGCACGGCCTCTGACCGTAGCAAGAACGCAGGACACGCTGGCTGCTCTTATGATTGTTTTACCAGTGCCACCATTGACCCTGGGGCCACGCTCTGCTGCGCCCGGGGGTGAACACATGTCCACTCCTCCAGTCTCCCGAACCAGATTTTAGCAGCCCAGGTGGGAACCCACAGCTCCACAACCCACCTGTTGCCCTCCGGCCCTTTTCTGTCTCTCCTTTCCTCAGTTTCCCCTCTCTGTAGCTCTCACATCTCTGCATTAACCAACCCCCACCCACAGCTGCTTCCTGCACCCAAGTATGACCTCACTTGTCTTGTGAACTCCCGGTCTGTTTCCCCGCTCTGGCTCATTACAGATATGTCTGGCCCACTTTCCCTCCCTGCATCCCAGCCCCTCCATTCCCCAGATGGTCTCCATTTCATCCCATTTCTGCCTTTGGGGTGGAGGGACCACACTTTCCTCACCTTGGGGCTCTCAGAATGAGAAGGTCAAAGAGGGAGCATTAATCTCTCTGGAACGCTGGCACAGAGGGAAAGAACTTTTCTCTTTTCTCTTTCCTCCATGTCTAAAGTTTGTAGCCAGACTTTCTGAGGGGACCAGGAAGAGGTGAGTTTTCTTCCCTAATTTCAGAACCTGGAAGGAAATTCAGTGCCCTGGATAGGGTCTGCCTCCTTTCAGCCCTCTGCTGGGTCCCTTTGTCCTCTAATTCCTGATGCCCTCGTCCTTGGTGCCTAAGCGTTTGGGGGTAGTGGACAGGGGGAGTTGATGGGGCAGGCGGAGGCCAAGGTGACCTCTCCGAGGCCTTTGCAGCCTCCCTCCCCCTCCCTGCATCGGAGGTGAAGAGCTGGCTTCACAGCTCTAAATATCCCCATACCCGCTGTCAACACCTGGGGGAGGTGAGAGAATGGGGGGCAGGGAGGCTGTGGGGCCCTGTCCTCTGCCCCCTCCCAGGGCCTCCACCTGACAGGCCTGAGCCAGGGGCTCCACACCAAGGCTCAGCCACTTCTAGCTCCTTCAAGATGCGCTGTCCGGAGCCTGGGACTGGGGGTTTGGATCCTGCCCTTGCTCCATGGTTCTTCCTCTGCTCCCTCTCAGGCTCCTTCCGCCCCACCTTGTGCCTGCAAGACTTGCTCCCAGTCCCCTCTCTCCAGGCCCTGGACCTCTCCCCATCTCCCACCCTGCACTGGTCTTCCCTCCAGCCTCATCCTCTCCTCTCTGTCCAGCCTCCTTCCTCCCTGTGCTCTTCCGCAACCTGGCCTGCCAGGTCCCCCTCGCTCTTCCGGACAACGCCTTCCCCTTGCTCACCCCCTCTCCCCGCATCGCCCCAAAACTTGACCTCCTCCTTTCCTCCTGTCCTCTGCAGGCCTCTGGCTCCCCTCCCCTCCCTCCTCCCTTACCCCACTTTACCCCACTTCTGCCCCTGGGCCTGTCCTTGCCCAACCATCTCTCTTTCCCTCATCATTTCTCTCTCACCCTGCGCTCCCTTCCCTCCCGCGTTCAGATTCATCCTGCAAATTTTTACCCCAGCGTACTAGGACTTTCTCCTCCCTGACATTGTCCCCCTTCCCCTCTTTCTATCTCTTCCCTCCTCTACCCCCTCTTCTTTTCTTTTCTCTCTCTCTCTCTCTCTCTCTCTCTCTCTCTCTCTCTCTCTCTCTCTCTCTCTCTCCC